TCCCTTTCCCCACTCACTCGCCAATACCCTTCATTTCCATCGTTGGTCATGCTACAGGGAGAGGCTGAATAGGCTGGAGCTATACCCCCTGGAGCATCGGAGGCTGAGGGGGTGACCTTATAGAGGTCCATAAAATCATGAGGGGCACGGACAGGGTGAATGGCCAAGGTCTTTTCCCCAGGGTAGGGGGAGTCCAAAACTAGAGGGGCATAGGTTTAAGGTGAGGGGGGAAAGGGACCTGAGGGGTAACTTTTTTTCACACAGAGGGTGGTGCGTGTATGGAACGAGCTGCCAGAGGAAGTGGTGGAGGCTGGTACAATTACAACATTTAAAAGGCATCTGGATGGGTACATGAATAGGAAGGGTTTAGAGAGATATGGGCCAAATGCTGGCAAATGGGACTAAATTAATTTAGGATATCTGGTCGGCATGGATGAGTTGGACTGAAGGGTCTGTTTCTGTGCTGTACATCCTTATGACTTAAAAAGATTCAAAGACCCATCCTCCTCCACACTCTGGGGAAGAGAGTTCCTTGGACACTCAATCCTGTGACAGTAAACCAAATTCGCATCTTCGTCTCCATCTTAAACTCTCTCTCCTAATTCAAATCCCCCTCTTGGCCATCTAGTTTCATGTCATCATATTTTTGATTCCTTCGTTCAACCCATTGACACAGATTGTGAAGGGCTGGGTTCTAAGCAGTGATCCCTGGGACACCCTTGCACTTCAGAAATGACCCATGTGTTCCTCCTGTTCCCTGTCTGCTTATCAATTCTCAATCCGTGCATAAGTTACCCCCCCCACCTCCCCAATCCTGGGAGATAGCAAGAACTGCAGGTGCTGAATCAGAGTCGATACAGTGTGGAGCTGGAGAAATGCAGCAGGTCAGGCAGCATCGGACGAGCAGTTCTGACAAAGGATGTAAACTCAAAGTTGACTTTCTTGCTCCTCTGATGCTGCCTAACCTGCTGTGTTCCTCCAGCTCCACACTGTATTACTCCCAAATCAAATGCTTTGATATTGCACCTCTAACATGGGACTTTATCAGAAGCTTTCTGAAAAACCAGTACACTACATCCATTGGTCTCCTTCATCTGTTTTCCTAGCTAGGCACTCAAAAAAAAAGAAATGGGACCCTTTGGCCCACTGTGTGTGTGAATGACAAACAAACACCAGCTATACTCAATAAGAACCAAAAGGACTGCAGATGCTGTAAATCAGAAACAAAAACAGAAATTGCTGGAGAAGCTCAGCAGGTCTGAGTCCTTTGGAAGGGTCACTCGACCCAAAACATTCACCCTGATTTCTCACTACAGATGCTGGCCAGACCTGCTGAGCTTTGCCAGCAATTTCTGTTTTTGTTACCAACTGTACTCCTGCACATCATCCATGGTCTCCTATGCCCTGGCGTTTTAAGTGCTTGTCCAGGCTCTTCTCAAATGTTGCCTCCACCACCCCCTCAGGCAACACATTCCATATTCCTAACCCAGATCCCCTCTAAACCACTTACTCCTCACCTTAAACTTGTGCCCTGATTTTCTCCCTCTGTTAAAATCGTGGGCTAATATTTGCCACCCTCCAATCTTCTGGGACTGTTCTGGAATTTATTAAATTATGGAAGATGATAGCCAACACATCTACTTCCATGCTGACCTCCTATGGTACCCTGGAATCATCAGAACATGAAGATTAATCGGCTTTAAGTCCCTAAGTACACTTTTTAAAAACTATTCTTGAAGGCTAGGGAAGCAAGAATTAATGGGATTTTTTTTCTGTCTTGTGAAAACAGAACTTTTAATTACTTCATTTAATTGCTCTGCCATTTCCTTGTGTCTCAGTCTTCCAGCACGGAAACAGACCCTTGAATCCAATCAGTCCATGCTGAATGTAATCTCAAACTAAACTAGTCCCACCTACCTGCTCCTGGCCCATATCCCTCCAAACCTTTCCTATCCATGTACTTATCCAAATGTCTTTTAAACATTGTGAGTGTGCTCACATCCACCACTTCCTCAGGAAGTTAATTCCACACGCAAACCAACTTGTGTTTTTTTTTAAAAAAAAAATGCCCTTCGTGTTTTTTAAAAATCTCTCTCCTGTCACCTTAAAAATATACCCCCATTCTTTAAATCTCCCATCCTAGGGAAAGGACATCTACCATTAACCCTATCTATACCCTATACCCCTCATTATTTTATAAACTTCTATAAAGTCACCTCTCGACCTCCTACACTCCAGTGAAAAAAGTCACAGCCTATCTTTATAACTCAAACCCTTCATTCCTGTCAATATCCTGGTACATCTCTTCTGAACCTTTTCCAGCTTAAGAATATCCTTCCTATAACAGGGCGACCAGAACTGGACACAGTACTCCAGAAGAGGCCTCACCAATATCCTATTAGTTCATGTGTAGTGGACAACAAAGAACGTTACCTCAGAATATACCGGGATCTTATCAGATGGACCAATTGGCTGAAGAGTGGCAGGTGGAATTTAATTTAGATAAATGTGATATGCTGCATTTTGGAAAGGCAAATCAGGGCAGGACTTACTTAATGGTAGGGTCCTGGGGTGTGCTGCAAAACAAAGAGACCTTGGAGTACAGGTGGATAGTTCCTTGGAAGTGGAGTTACAGGTAGATAGGGTAGTGAAGAAGGCGTTTGGTACGCTTGCCTTTATTGGTCAGTGCATTGAGTACAGGAGTTGGGAGGTCATGTTGCGGTTGTACAGGACATTTTTCAGCCACTTTTGGAAGAATGTAATTCTAATCTCCCTGCTTTGAAAGGATGTTGTGAAACTTGAAAGGGTGCAGAAAAGATTTACAAGGATGTTGCCAGGGTTGGAGGGTTTGAGCTATGGGCGAATGTTGAGTAGGCTGGGGGGTGACCTTCTAAAGGTTTATAAAATCATATGGGGCATGGATAGGGTGAATAACCAGGTCTTTTCCCCAGGGTAGGGAAGTCCAAAACTAGAGGGTATAGGTTTAAGGTGAGAGGGGAAAGATTTAAAAGGGACCCAAGGGGCAACTTTTTCACAGAGGGTGGTGCGTGTATGGAACGAGCTGCCAGAGGAGGTGGTGGAGGCTGGTACAATTACAACATTTAAAAGGCATTTGAGTGGGTATATGAATAGGAAGGGTTTAGAGTGATATGAGCCAAATGCTGGCAAATGGGACTAGATTAATATAGGCTATCTGATTGGCATCGACAAGTTGGACCGAAGGTTCTGTTTCTATACTGTTCAACTCTGACTCTACAACTCTGTTTCAGACTCCAAAGGCTTACGTTTATCTGCACTAATGTTTTTGCCAGAAGCTCTTAAGAGTTCATTTTATGTTTCTTGCACATTTACTTATTCTATTTTACCCCCACTAGGCCTTCTGCTCCCAGTTCTCAGGCTGGGCTACTTTTCTCAAGCAACTTTATGGATGACTTCTTTAGATCTAATGCTGTTCTTAACTTACTTTGTTGGCCATGGTTGGGTAACCTTTTGTGGTGTGTTCCTTTGCCTGATGGGATGGTATAATTATTGCAATTGCAAGCATTTATTACTTAAATATTAGCTCTTGCCAGATTGAGGGGACAACCAATTCAAAGGTTGATAGAAGGCAGATTATTCTCTGAATGGTGGCAGTTTAGGGAAAAAGTGAGGTGCACTGAGACCTGGATGTTATGGTGGAACAGTCACTGAAGGTTGGCATGCAGGTGCAGCAGGCGGTGAGGTAAGCTAATGGCATGCTGGCCTTCATAGCGAGAGGATTTGAGTATCGGAGTAGGGATGTCTTATTGCAATTATACAGGGCATATAACTGTGAGGCCACACCTTGAGTATTGTGTGCAGTTTTGGTCTCCCAGTCTGAGGAAGGATGTTGTTACTATTGATGGAGTCCAGCAAAGGTTCACCAGACTGATTCCATTTGTACTGTTTTGTGCACTCAAGAATAGTATCTTTAAATTTAGTCTTTCTGAAATTCTTACACATTTTCTTTGTACCAGTGCATCTAGTGTTAGACATTAAATTCTGAGTTTTGCCAGTCCAGGCTGGTTCTCCACAACTGTTGTGAAGAGCCAAAGAGCTGTGTTGTTTGTTCAATAATGACCCGCCAGTGCTCTTCAATTCTGGAACTCCCTCCCTAATGGCATCGTGGGTGTACTTACAGCACACATGCCACTGGGTCAAGAAAGCAGCTCACCACCACCTTCTCAAGGGGCAACTAGGACTGTCCCAGCCAGTGAAACCAATGCATTAAAAAAAGGCAACCAGTCTTTCTTTGTTCTGCCCTCCCCACTTTTCCTCTCTACCTTTTTGTTAATCTTTCATTTCTAATTCTTATTCTCCTGCTCAGGGCCCAGACTATAACACCAGCCCTGCTCTCCACCTTATAGTTTAAATATTCCCTGCTGTACTGGCTAACACCTAAAGGGAGGATTACTGAACTAAACACAAAGTGCTGGAGATACTCACAATCTGTGTGGTGAGAAAGAATTAACTTTTTCAGGCTAGTGACCCAAGTTATCCCTGTCCTGCTGGACCTTGTTTAAGTCCCATGCAAGACTCAACCCCTGCCTCTAAAACTACAACTCCTGGTAGATCAGTGCTGGAAGCGACTACAACTCCCGGCGTCCTTGCTATCGGGAATTAAAAACTACAACAGCTGGGAATATCGCGCAGGAAGTGACTACAACTCCCGGCATTCTGGCTGCTAAGGAAAGCCACAACAACTTGGGACCAGCACCGGAAGCGACTACAACACCCGGCATCCTTGCGGACAGACAGAACAACACCTGAACAACACAGTCAATATAGTACGGAGCTGGAGGAACACGGCATCGGGGGAGTGGTAAAGGCGACATTTCAGGTTTATATCCTTCATCCCCGAACACCTGGGAAGACGGCGCCCAGTGCAGGAGGAAACTACAAGTCCCAGCAAGCTTTGATCAGGATGGGGCGTAGTTAGCCGGCGCCTCTAGACCACGTGATCCGCGTGACCGTCGCTGCCCGCGCCGACCTGTGGAAAGGGAGGGCGGTGATTGGGCGGAGGGCAGAGGCCAATGGGAATCGCGTTTGCTGGTGGAAGAGAGGAGGTGGCCGTTGAAGACAAGGCCCCGGCAAGATGGTGCTGGAGAGTACGATGGTGTGGTGAGTGAGAGAGGGACAGGGAGGGAGG